TTCAACAAGTGGTTAGACTGGAACTGCTTGCTTTAATATGTATACTTTTATTGTGTGCCTAATGGAGTGTTTTGGTTGTCGATTTTGTTTTGTCGTACGAGGGGAGTTTGCAAAGTACATCTAGGAAGCAATTTCTGTAAAAAAGTGAGATCTATTTTACCAAGTATCAAAATTCTGTCAGACATACTAGACATAGAACATCTCAAAATCCTTTACCTATGGAATAGTAGCTTGGGGGGGAACTGCAAGTACTAACGAGCTTTTTGAAGAAACAAAACTTTTTGATCTGAAGCAAATATTTGTTTATAGTCTACTATTGAGGCAGCATAGAAATAAAACTGAACTCGTAATGATAGATCATCCCCACTCAACAAGGGAGTTATGACCCTCTTTATTGATAGCGTAACTATGACGATATAAGCTTATAATATCCCGGTCAGAAATAAACATTTTTTTGAAACAAAAGTTGTAGGGAATTCAATCCTCTATAAAATTGATATTGAATGCAAATAGCGAAAAACTCATAGGAAACGTTTTCTGTGACCTTTGAACTTAAATTTCAATAGTCGCATACACCCTATCATATGTTGGTTTTGAGACAACTTAGGGTGTCAAAATACAAGTTAACAGGTGTTTATAGCTGTGTAGCTCAAATTTCGAGGTGAACTTAATAACATGATTGGACTATCAGACGCAACTTTGTTTTATGATATGTAATAACACACTGCATACATTTCATGAACGTGAAATGTACCTAACGAAAATATAATCGATTTATCATATATATACACAGAAAAGGACACATACTTTTGACATACTTAAAGATGAATACTGAATTCTGCATTCAAGAAATTCATTCATCGAAACTACTCATGGAGAAACTTATTCCGTATTTCAGAGTCAAGTTTATAAAATGTTCATTCATATGGTTGCGTTATCTAGAATCTGCATATGTTCCCGTCTAAATGTTACACAGCACACCTTCATATACCTGCATGCTTAAAAATAAAACCTGGCTAATCCTG